AAAATGGTAAAAATTATACAGAGGTCATCTAACCTATATGTCGAAATGTATGGACGTTTCACGCCACTTTCAAATCTCGGCAAGTCTGGTCAGACTGGGTGATACAAGTAGGGCTCCTGCGTTATGTTACATTATGCCGATTCTTTTGTGTGTAAGAAAAGATAAGAAAAATGAAATATCATTTTACTCCAAAAAAACATCTACGATTAATTTAGACAAAACAACTCGTAAAATGGTAAATTGCAAGTACATAAAAAACATCAAAATCCATAGCTCTGCTCTAGTATCGGCTGCCACTAACTTAACATGAAAAAGTGGATACCTATGAAGAGGTGCTGGGGAGAGTTTGAGAGGAGAGCTCTTGTCTGTACACTACTCTGAAAAAGAGAAGATACATCTGGATTGGACATATTCTAAGACACTGTAGGTTATTTTTACTTACTCCACTGCCTTACGGTTGGCTGATTATGCAAAATACTTTCAAAGGGATGGTACTTCCGGATGCCGGAAGAAACTAGAAAATTTGTTGTCTTGAATGGAATCTGCTTTTTCTTTAATTACATTTTCGGATTCGACGCAACGTGACATTTTCAGTCTTTATGTTCATATACTCGTATATATATGCCAATATCTAGCATTCATAGTTTTACGTTTCGTTTTTATCATGATCAGCAGCTTGCATGAGTAGACTATTCCAACTGCTTCGGTTTCATTGACGTAGGGAGATTAACATTGAGCGTCGTTCTCGAAGGTATATTATTGAATAAGAGATTCCTGATAGTACCTATAAACAGTTGTTCGGTGTTCATCCGTGTTTTGTTTATGACCGGGAAAAAATACATTTCTCTTTTCTATATTTGTAGTAGGTATTGTTTCTGTGATCCATTTTCCTCTGGGTAAACGGCAAAAAATTCACCCTTTATGCATACAAATTGCATCTCGAACAAGGTTGGAACGGATTGTATAAGTTGATTATACGACAATTATTTGAGCAAAACAATTAAGCACCTAATCTTGATAATGTGCATTTAGGCAGGTAGATAGGTACCTATTATCCACCTATACCTACTTAGGGGTCACAATTCTTAATAGAAAACGTGTTTTCTTTAACCACTTGTATGTGAGCGGGCATATAAAGATATATAAAAATCATAATACTGCAATAGTGGTTTGTTTAGAAGGCTGTCCTCGATTGCAGGTTTCGGTATGTAAAATGCGGAATGTCTGCTTACAGTTACCCAATCGATTTCGCGCGATACAGTCCACACGATTACGCTTAGATGGCGCTCTGCACGGTGAATATTTGTGATTAGTTTTGAAGGATTTATTTACTTATACAAGAATTGGATTAGTGCACAATCATCTGGTGTTAATTTTTAATTACAAATTTACTGAGAATGTCCCACCAGTAATAATAGAACACCAATAAAATGAGGCATTACTGCATTTACGAAGCTGATATATCCACTTACCTACGGCGTATATTCATTATGCTTGAGAATACTAACTATTGATTAGATAAACTCAAATTTAAAATAAGTTTTCTCCTTGATTAAACTTATCTCGAAGTTAATAACGTAGACAAGTCAGTAGACGAACTTTAAATTTATCTGGAGCCATTCAGATGCAAAGTAGGTTCGTTTCTCTTAATTAAATTGGTTGAAGTTCTGGCATCATTCCTCCGTTATATTCTTAACAACCATTTTGAAGCTCCACATTCGACCCCGGTTTAATTTAAATGTAAAATTATCCTGGAAATCTATAATACAGAAATTGATTCCATTTCTTCGCGTGATGGTATTATTTTATCTATTTAAATAGATCCTTTCGTAAGGCCATTGTGCATCTTTCACAAATAAAGTAAGCGTACGCTACAGAATAAAGAACATGAGGGAAATTCTTTAACAAAATGAACTTTGTGTATTGCTTTTGTTTTACGTTTCAAAATTTATAGATGTTGTTGCTAACAAAGACAAAGTTTAGCTGTACTAATAAAGCTTGTTATCACATATCTGACATGAAAATGAGATGGTTATCACTTTTATTTTGTCTTCTATTACAAATTATATATACCCTTAAGAGAAAACAAAGAAATTGGATGGTTTATGTGTTATTGTTAATTGTCACGCAGTAAATTACCTATAAGAGAATTGAATTCGATTAATGAATATTAATTGGCCATATGTACCTAATAATGAACAGTAGTTAATATCCCCAAGTGCATAAAAATATACGTCGAGTCAATTTACCACCTAACATTTGGGTTGCAAATTGCAGCCGAGTAAGCATTGCTTCATAAGGTAGTAGGACAAAATTTAATTATGCCATTTTTAAGTATGCGGAATATTTGGTATGATTATTTTTGAATAAAAAAATGTTAAATTATACGCAGTAAATTTTGATACATTTTTAACCGCGGTTTTGATGACTGGTACAGTGTGTCCCATATTTCGATGCTCACCTTGGTGTCCGTTATTAGAAAAGCTGGTGTAGAACAAAAACGACAAAGTGAGACATTTTACAAAGAAAGTTTACAGGCAGAAGTAAGTACAGGTAGGTGCCAATTTGTTAAATTAAAAATCGCAATGATGTGACGTGCACTTCCCATTTAAAAATCACCTAAACCTTTGGCTATAGGTAAGTATGTCTTAAAAAATCATAAGTAATTAGCAAAAAAGTTGCACTAGAGGTGATCATTATCAAGTATAGCAGAATGCAAGGTGAGTATTACCCATACCATAGGTACCTATGTAATTTGAAGGGTTTTGATAAAATCTACGCAAATGATTATTTTGCATTTATTTGTAGTAGGTACATCGTAGGATTACAGATTGCGGATTCTTCTAATATAAATGATATAGATACGTAAATACGTTCTATGTTGCTTCATTATTAACGAGCCACGAGCTGGTTCATGATTTTAGACTTTCTGTCCATCCGTCTGTGTACATGATAACTCGCGAACGGTTTCGAATTTTCTAATTTTGTTTTTACTATTATGTTTATCATCGCACCCACGGAAGAACTGATTAAATTTTCAGTGACCCAGGAACTCCACTTCGCCCGTCTGTCGTTTGCTATACCTATGTGTTACAAGTTTATTAAAAATAAGCAAGAGCATGTACAAATGAATAAGTATTAAAAAAAAGCATAATAGGTGCATATGGTGGGGAATGCACTACAACATTGGCATGCGAAGAAGTTTAAGTATATCTACTGAATAATGAGTATGTATATAGGGTGCTCGGTTTAAGAGCCTCACTTTGGGATCTCGCTGATCATACGAGATACGATGCTGATGGTTAAATCAGACATGTTTGAAATTTGAATGTAGCTAGTAGGTAGTGTCAGTGGCGGAGTAGCTACCCCCGGTTCCCGGTGCGGCTCACCAAAATTGCGCCCTCATACCCCTCCCCCCCCCCCTTTCTCTCATTTGCCGCCTAATTAACGGCTTGGTAGGTACCTACCTACAATGAAAACAGATATGTACAGGGTCAATTTTGACGTACGACTTGCGCGAATGCGCAATAAAAAGTTTTTACTTTGTAACTTAGTTATTTGTGGGAAGAATAAAAAAAGTATAACGAATATAAATTATATAGAAATAGTCTGTTAGTAAGGGGGTACTGTTATATTTTCTAAAGTCTGCCTAGTTTCTAAAATACACTATACCAAAGTTTGATTTTTCAAATACCTGCAATGTATAATATTTTTGCACCAATAAATTTTAATTCTCAAAATATCCCCCCAAAAACATCGAAAACAATCAATTTGGAACATCTTGTGTTGGCGCCCCAGTCCCCCCTCCCCCTTACGTCGCCACTGGGTAGTGTTGTTCATTCATTGTGCATTTTGGATTTTATACTATTACTGATAATTTGTTAGATTAGGGCAGATTCTATAATGCAGGTAGGTATATACCGAGAATAAGCTATAGGTACCTATAATAAACGTCGACAATTGCGTTGGTTACCATTGCGTCAACCAAGGGGATACTAGTGCTATGGCAGTTATTCCAAAAATATCTTATTCTGCGTAAAAAGTGTAATTGTCGTGGTATTGTAGAACCGGCCCTAAAGTTGAAGATATAAATGATTCACAGCTTTTGTTGCTCTTCTTAAGAATTGGATAAGTATACCTAGCTAATAGGTATTTTAACGAACTGAAAAACCATACTACGTGCAGTATATTATATTATCAGAGAAAACCTGTATAAAATCACAAAATACAGTGTGATATCCTGCCATCATACTCAAAGCTACACTATTATATTCAAATTTTCCTTAATTTGGTAGATCCACTTCCATTTCAACTAATTTACGTGTATTAGAAAAGATTTTTTGATTCATTACCTATACCTGTAAAAAAGTTTTGTTAGTAGGTAGGTACGTATTTTACTACGAAGTTTTGCAAATGAGAATGAGAATTTATCAACTACATTACGTGGATTCTGAAAGAGCGTCCCAAGCGCCCTCCTTGAGTAAAAAATATCACAGGCAGACTGACATAGACACATATATAGGTTGATATACGCGAAGAAAAATCGAGGATTAAAATAAACTACATCAGCGCATTTTTGTTTTATGAATAAATGTTTATTAGAAATCCACACACTAAACACTACTGAAAGTAGATAAGGTTAGTGCTCGATCTATAATCCATATGATGCTCATATAAATTGTAAAAGGCAAGTTAATTGCCGGCACGTAGATAAACAGAGAGCATTACTAAATGCGAAAAATTGCAGTTGATTCTTATAAGCGTGGGAACATTATTTCAACGAGATTGGTTACCTAATATTTAACGACTATGATTGATAACACTTAGTAGAAATCTACACTTATGGTGGTGAGTGATAATGTAAGTGCCTGCGGGATCCCTACACAACATTTATGCCTGATAGCCCAATAGGTGAAGGGATGAAAAGTTATGAATCAATCTATCACTTAATACAAAAAGTGCGCATTATAACGACATCACTTTATCAGCGGAAGTCGCCAAAAAAGAAAGAATTTATTCGATCGGTAATGTTACATTAGTATTTATATAATTTGTTACGTTTTAAATTAACATACCTATACTGAAACAATCCTACCTATCCTTCTACTTCTACATAGTATAAGGGCAGATAAAGATACTTAGTTGTTATGTTAACAAGTCCAACATTCATGTTATTTACACAAAACAGGAATAAAAAAAGGTGTTTAAATATAATTCATTTATGAACAAATATTATAGCTGTACCATTTGCACATATACCTACGCACATAGTCAATTCAGTACCTACTTAGGCATATAACTAGATTATTTGTATCAATGTGTGAATACCTAATGAAATCTATAACAGTTTTAATTTCGTGGGAAGGCTGGGTACAATTGGAAATCACACTAACGTAAACGTATAGATATAAATAGTGCCCTGAGAGCTAATCTTGTCGCTTTCCGACGGTTGAGTAGTAATAGTAGGTTAAATCTTAATGGTATTCTAAGTCTTAATATTCCCGATGATATTCCACACCGCAAATTCTTCCATGCGATATAATGTGGTACCATATCTTTGACTGCCTGAAATTTCCATCCACATAGGTGGATGGTAAGTAGTTCAGTTTGCTCATTGCAATATTCAAACACCGTTAAATCCTGTAGAATTCTCAAAGCTTTGCCATACTTCAGGTGTAAGTAGATAATTAAGAATTGCATCTAGGCGATGTTCTTCACCAAGCGCGATTTGGCGCATAGTCTTCATCTCGTGTAGAAACTTGATCTTCATCCAGGCATCCTTTAAATGTTTGTCACGTACCTATAACTAGCAATAATTGCGCCTCAGTTATACTTCATCGGTTATAATATCGTCACTGGGTCACTGCGCAAAGTACCATGCTGAAAATGGAAAGCCATTATGTGTGCAGAAAAATTCAGAGTCATATTTATGTACACTGTTACTACAAATGTAGGTACTATAAGTATACCTATACATTATAAGTATTTTGTATTTGCATATAAGTACCTAGAAGTGCTGCTTAGCTAATTGATCTAATTTTACACCTACGTATACTGTCAGTACCTATAGTAGCTATCGTAATACCTATAGGTACTTATTGAAACTATAATTGCTCCAAAACATATAGTTATAGATAGATCTATACAATAACAATAAAGCATAACTTTATTTCAATTGTTGTGGTAAGGGACCTCTTATAAGAATAGAACTTGTCTCCCTATCACAATATGTCAACACACAGGGCGTTACGAAATTCGCGTCCACAGACAATGGAGGTTTAATTAAACAGAAAACCCTATTACGCTTTTGCGATCAGACAAACACTTTTCAAGCTACGAGGTTGCAACAAAAATGAGAAAGAAATGAAGAATGATTTTTATTTTAATTAATAAATAACTAATAAAACGAACTTGTGGCATAAATGAATTTAAACTTACTTAATCTACGTTGATGATTCCATATTCTAATTGTACGTGGATTCCCATTAGCTCATTAGATTGTGTTATGATGATAACTGAAAACCCAAGACACCAGAAGTCCAGAACGGATAAATAATGCTATTTAACATGTCCAAATACAACTATACAACAACTATATAGTTTAAATTTAGTCGTGCCATGTACTCGTATCTTGAAAAGTATTTGTCTGTCATCGCAAAAGTGTAATAGGGTTTTCTATCCAGTTTTGTCTCAGAACTAACCCCCATTGTCCGTAGGTACGAATTTCGTAACACCCTGCATAAGGCTACCAGATATATAAATAGTGCTAAATTAGAACCAAAGATTTTAGTTATTAACGGATTCAAAATTGAGTCTCAGTTATTCAATTCCTCATCAATTACTCAACTTCACAAACGAGTGAAAGCAGGTTCAAAACATTATACATATCCAGCCCTTAACAAACAAAACCGGAGACAGTCTTGTAATGCAACCTTTTAAAAACGGTACCTATACCTACTTGTCCAGATTACTTGGGAGTTTTAACATTTCCAAATTATTGTTGCATTGTCTATTATCTATTTCAAAAAGTTGTCAGTGGTTATTGGTTAGTTTTTTTGTAAGCTTTGATATGTGCTATACAATTAATTTTTAATTTTTTTATGTATAAGTATTAGGTAAGTTTTCAAAATGATTTTCAAGTAGCTATAAGGTCAAGTAACATGGAAAATCTTCTAGTTGAATCGCAATGCACCACAAATACTAAGCCTGCACATACTATGAGTTATAATTTTTTTATGAGAGACAGTACTTCAAATTCGTGGCTCACGAAATGGGTCCTCCGTAACGGTGAGAGATACAGTGTAAGTCACAATTTCCCCTTTTTATGAAATTTTGAAATTGTTGACAAATCTTTGAAAATAACCGAGATATCACCGAAAAAATGAAAATGTCTAATTTCGCAGGTGGACCATTTTTAGGTTGACAGTTTTTCGAGTCCAATTGCTAAAAGGGAACAGATTTGAAATTCCTCACAAATTTACTCGGTTTAAATACAAACCTCGAGTGTAATTCAGCAGGACAATTTAACGAACAAGAAATTCCCCAAATCAATCAATTATATTGACAAATGTCAAACTAGTCATATGGGAAGGATAATGCGATAATTGGTTAGAAAATGAATAAGTGAAAAAACACTAATATAATGAATTTGGCGCTGGAAGAGTTGCAGGTAACTTTGGCCGCTGTCAAGGTGACAATTGCACTGCGGCTTATGCGATTTTTTATACATGAGTTGAATTGTCACTGAAACATTCACCGGTATACATTTATCATCACAGTGCGTTCGAGATAAGATGGTCCCCTCAGTATCTCACATATATAATTATACCTACTTGACAGATTTTTCGCATCTCGCCAAATAAAATATAGGTACATTAAGGTGACTCTTATATCGAACGCACTATATATGATAATTTATTTAACAAACTCATGGAAGTTTCTGGAGTTTCTATGAGTCGAATATGAAAACTTTTGAAGCAAAAATACCGTTACATAAAAATAGATGATGTATACAGGGTGTTTTTTTTTGGGAGCTTTAGTTAAACGTTTCTGCGAAAGTGAAATAGGTATAGGATTTTGAAAATTTGTACTTAAGAGTTACTCCCCTGGTTACTCCGAAGGCCAAATCGATGTAAAATATTTTCAAAATCCGGAAATACCGGAGGTAGCTAGTAACTTAGTTATGTTAAATGGCAACCCCTAATTTTTATTGCATTTTTGGATTCTACGGGAAATTTAGTACAATACAATGTATGGTTTTTAAGTTCTTTTGACTTGTAATAAAAAATGGCGAATGTAGACGGTACCTACTTTGAAAACGGTTGTAGTTATGGCAACCCATTTTTACCAGTGCATAGAGCAAGAATAGGACTTTCTTTTACCTAGTGTACTTAAGAAAAATTAAGTTTCAAAGACTCAAAACTCAGTTTTTTCAATGAAATGACCATTTTATTACATTTGCATTTGAAAGAGAATGAAAATTGGCATATTTTCATATTATATGTTTTTATAGGTAGCTATAATGTTTAACAGTTTCTGATTTATTCCCATTTCATTGAATTGATAACATTTTTTTCGGATTTTCTTTGTAGTAATAGGCCATGATTTAATGACAATCGAATTGTAAACAAATCAAGAAAAGGATTCTTTAACATCATTGATTCTAATCGAAATAATTAATTAATTAAAAAAGGCAACAAAATGATCAGCTAATTGGAAAACACAAACTTATACAACGTTTTTTTTAAATGCGAACATACGATCACAATTAAATTCCAAAAATCTTCATGTGTATACAACCACTGCTTGCCATTTTTCGATTATTGAAAAACTTATGTTAACCTATAACAGGTGACGGATTAGTGTCACTACATTTGTTTAAAATTCGGTTGTCATAAAATTATGGGCGACAACTAAAAAGAAAATCCGAAAAAAATGGTATCAATTCAATAAATTGGAAACTGTTAAAGATACATATAGGAACATGTAATAGCACAATATATCAATTCTGATTCTCTATCAACTGCATAATAAGAAAATGGTCATTTCAATTGAAAAGTCTGAGTTTTTCTTTGAAGTTTCTTAAATTTGGAGCTCCATAGATGCGGTCGTACGCAACTTACTTTTTTTAAGTACACTAAAGAAAGTCCTATCCTTTCTCTATGTCCTGGTAAAAATGGGTTACCACAACTACAACCGTTTTCAAGTAATCAAGGTACCGTCTGCATCTGTCATGTTTTTTTTTATTAAAACCCAAAGTAACTTAAAAACCATAAATTGTAGATACCAACATGTGGGTATCAAAAGAACTGAAATTTCACGTAGAATCCAAAAATGCAATGAAAAATAGGGGTTGCCATTTAAAATTACGAAGTTACTAGCTACTTCCGGTATTTTCGGAACTGCCACCATTTTGAAAATATCTTGGAAAATATTTTACATCAATTCAGAGTACAAATTTTCAAAAACTTACCTATTTCGCTTTCCCAGAAACGTTTAACTATAGTTCCTAAAGAAACACCCTGTAGATACGAATAATACAAGCATACTTTAAATCTGTGATACAAGCATACTCTGACAGAAAAAAACGGGTATTTCATTAGAAATTCATAGAAATTCTGGTGCTTAGTTATGATCTAATTGATTATTTCCAATAAAAGGCACGATGAATATTTGGTTATTGGTAGAGAAATACCAAAGGGTAGGCAGATACGTAAAATTCATGCATTTTGAATAGATGGTAAAATTGAAAAAAAAATCGTTACCCAGTAGGTAAATAAGTATTTAACAGTTTAATTTTATTCTCACGCTTTGCATCGTATCTACCATTTGAATAAGTACCTATACTTTATCTATGAATCTCCAACTAAACAACATATAACAAAGAAAAGTTGATACCATTACACGCGAGATTATAGGCATGTAGGAATTTCTGCATTACTATATCCCGAAACCTTTTATTCTGGAAAGTTAAATGGTATACGGCAGCTAAAAGAGCGTCAGTGAATTAACCTACCAAAGGGGCCAATTTCGTTTAATGAATGTAATCCAACACCCCTACCTAGCGTTGGCTCTGCACTAATTACAGTAGCTGTGTGTAACGGTTTGTTGAACGAAATTGGATACAAAACATAAGATCGCAATTATCCGCATATATACTTATACATACTGCTTCGTAGTATTTACTAAAGTGAGGAACAAATCTCATTTGGAAAATTCAAATTAGTACAAGCTACAACTTAAACCCTATTTCTAATAGCGGGCAAACAAAAGGATTAACAAATAAATCCGTAAACCTAATAAGCTGCAATTATAAAATTTCAAAGTCTCTAAAGATAATTTCATACCCGTAGGCTATTTGCAATAGCTTAGAAAGACAGTAAAATGATATTCTTAGGAGAAATGCTTGCGCCTGGCTTTTATACTTGCAATTTGTTCCCCCTTTTGACCTTCCAAGCTCCAACTCTTAAGCATCCACGACCACCCAAGACGGTTACGTCACAATTTCAAGCATTTGATCTTCTTAATTACTGCGCAGACCAATTGCTTTCTTCTTCTCTGAAAATTATAACCTCTCACAAATTCAATTCATTTTACGATTCATCTGTGCTTCTCATTTTAACTTCGTACTGCATTCCTTAATCAAAATAATTCGACAACAGCTATTCAGCTTAATGGAGTAGGTAGCTGCATCTGAAAAAAATTCAAATAAAAGTACATTGCATCTTATAATTAACATATTTAGATAATTAATTTCCCACATTAGTTTGAATTTGCACATAAATTAAGTTTTAGTAGAGTGCTAACGAGTGAGAAGGCTCAGATAAGCATCCAACAAATCTAATAACAAACAAACCTTTTAAGCTACTATTGACCTTATTAACATGTTGTAAATCAGTAGAAGTGTAAAGTGTCGGCAAAAGAACCACATCAGTTCTCAATTAAGTTGCGTAACTCTTTCCCTTGTAAGAATTCAATTTTGCTATTGTTAACGATTGAATTTTATTTAATTAATAATAACGTTAATTGGATAGCTAAGACGGATTTCCGGGTACGCATCGTATTTAATTAAATAAAGCAGAACCTAAATTAAAACTATAGACATCATTTGTGATGAATACAAATAATTTATTTCTAAAAAATATAATAGAGCATTGTTCTAAGCGACAGAAACGAATCATGAAATTATGTTTTAATTTAGATAAAACACTTTTTTGGGTACCACTTCTAAGGTGTAATTATAATGTGGGAATAATTATTTTATAGAGATTAGAGGTAGGTATAGGTATGTACGTACCTTCATACACTGGCAATTCTTGACATTCCTCGTTTCCTGAGTTTCTCATACTGAAACAATGTTGTGGTTGTTTCTCCATTTCGAATAACAGTTATACGCCTTATCCTTTAGATTTATACGTCCCCTCAAATTACTTTTTATTTCATCTGGATATAGTTTTTCTCGTGAACGTCATCAGGGCTGGCGTCATCGGGGCTAATCCTACAACCGCAGCAATACATTAGAATGTAAAATCAATTATATGGTGGTATGACGGAGGTATATATGTGAATTTTGCACGCGTGAATGTTTTAACATAACAAAACCGTTGGTATTCTAGTGCAATGAATTAAGTAATGAATTTTTATTTGATGTGTATATTGGAGTGCATGAAACGTGATAAAATGACTTCAATTTGTTAAGAATATAAACACCTATAATACCTTTACTACTAAATCGATCATAAAGCCGTAGCTATAATGTTTTATGGCTGAACCAAGTGTAGCAGCTACAAGTGGTTTAGAATTGATTTTAACTAGCGTATCTTTTTTTAATGCCTTTTAACGGTGCTAAATGTTAATGTTAAGGACGTCGGTTTAAATAAGTCATACACGCTATAATTCGTACGCGTATAAACGTTATTGATTTCGATACATATTTCAGATATAATCAATGGTTACTAAGTGTAGGTATATGAATGAATTTAAATCGAGTTAATTCCTAATAAATTAATTAGCGCAATAATTGTGTAGGTACTTAATGTTTAATAAATCAGCAGAAATTACTATACCGCATATTCATTAAATACCTATATGATGTCCTATAAATATTTAAATTAATCAATGTTAACATTTTATGAGGTCGATATGGTTGACTTATTCAATTGTTTCTTCTGTCTTGCTGTTTTCACTTTCATTTTAATTTCATTACGTTTATTAGCCAGTAGACAGATTTGCTTGTGATCGAGAATTCAAGGGCACCTTCAGACACAAAAAAGTTATCAAATCCTGTGAAAAGTATTTTATACTTAGGTATACGGCCCTTGAATTATACCCATCGTTAAATATTAGGTACCTACTAATTACAATGTATGTACAGTTGTATATCACCTGAACATTTTTTGCGATAAGGTTTTCAGAAAAAAGCTGAAACTTTTGATTTCAGTTTTATTTTTTATTTTATTTTTTATTTGACTTATATGTATGTTCCTATATAAAGATCATAAGTCCATTTTTGAGAGCACCTGACACAAAACTTCGTCTTAGTCACTAATAACTTTTACGAAAGTACAATATTCAATAGGTACCACCTGAATTTAGCACCGTTTAGATTGTAAATATTTTCCGATTTATCAGGTACCCCGTACCAACACGGAAATTTACTCGTTTAACTATACCTATACCGAGATATCAATGTACACAATTCCATTATAGAATCTACCATCATAGCGATTGATATCAACCCAAAAAAAGAACATTGAACCCACATGTGGACCTATACTTTGAGAAGAAAGCGCAAGAAGGGTTTTGGGTTTTGGTGATCTTTTTTAAGTTACCTAATATACGGTTTTATTTTCAATAGAGGTACCTAACAAGTTTTAAGGGAAATCATACATTTATACCCGAATGGGAATCCGAGCCATGGGTTCATTAGATACGTATTTGGACATTCGTGCCTATTGTTTAGTAGATTCGATTTACTTACTGTAAGTTACTGGAATTTTACTCATTTTGCTATAGTAAATTGTATTGTAAGTGTACAATACAGTATAGTCAGCTACCCTTAGTACTGGGTGCGGCCAAACAAACAGTGGCAGTGCAGTTGTGTTCCCCCACTACATCCGCTGTGGTGGTGATGGGAACCGTAGAGGGGACACATTACGTCCGGTCACTCACCCCATTTTTAGTACCTACTTAGCAATGGTTTGGAGTGAAGAGCATCGCGGCTTCGCCGTTCGCACGTTTTTTTGAAAGTGGTCGTTCTTTCATTATCACTCGGCGTATCGTTAGACGGCACTTTAACATTCCACGTCGTGCTCCAGTTCCGTAACGTAATGTGATCGCGAGTTGGGTTCTGCGCTGTTTTTCGGAGCATCAACGCTTTGATTGAAAACCTGACCAGGCGAAAGATCAGGCGAATACGTTCCGACAATGGATCGGAATTCGTCAACAAGGAAATGGAAGACATCTGCACCAAGGATGGTATCATCATTGAAACTACCGTGCCATACCTACACTCCGCGTTTCTGAAAGGATGAACCGCACCGTGCGCGTTATATGCGGTGGGACAGCGAACTCGGCAAAGAACTTTGGGCTGAAGCTACATATCATGCATCTTTCCTGATCAAGAAGAGATCATCGTCAACCGAGATTCGACGTTTCTCATCCTATCCCAAGAACAATTAGAATAGGTTCATCATTTGTTGTTGACTACAATGATGATCACGAGCCTGTAAGTTCAGTTGGGGCATCGAAATTAACAGAAGTTGAAGAAAGTTCATCGATAGTCGCTATGTTGACGCTATAAAGAAAAATCAACTAATCGAAAACCAGATTAATGAAGCATCCGATGATGCTACTCGTAATTACCGTGAATTATCACTATCCAGAGGGCGATGAATTGCGACGTTCGAATCGACAAAGTCCCGTTGTTCGGAAAGGTTTCATGTCGTACTTTAGAAGTCACCGCGATATGGAAGATCCCTTTACTCGTGACGAAGGTCTTCGTGCGCACGATAGTCAACAATGGTTGGAGATGATGAAGCAGGAGTCATTCGCGATGAACGGGAATTGCATGCTGGTGGATCTACCTACTACTCCGAATTAGGTTTTCCTGCAGTTTTCCTAATTCGTAAGGTAAATACCGGGCTAGTATAGACCAGCTTAAAACCTTCTGCAGGGACACCTCTAGAACGCATTATGTACTCTGTAATTGGTCGCAATCCTGTTGAGGGCCCAGAACAAAAGGGACAATGAATAACTAAATAAATATAAATTTCCCACTGGGAAGAAAACCCGTAAAAACCAAATGGGTCTTTAAACGAAAACGAGCCGATGATGGTACTGTTGTGCGACACAAGGCTCACCTACTGAAGAAGGGATGCTCACAAAAGTATGGCATTGATTACAGATATTTTCACCTGTTGTACGATACAGTTCGATGCGACTGTTGATCGCATTGACTGCACAACGAGGTTTGATTAGCTATGTTGAATGAAGACTAGGATGAAGATATTTATACTCTTCAGCCCGATGGTTTCGAAGACGGCTTAGGACGAGTCCATTCAATTTGATACACAAATTCAGTCAGTGTCAAGGATATCACCAATTCAATTCTGACGTGCTATATAGCGAAGCTGTAGGAAGCTTGTTGTTTCTGGTACAAAGGACGGGGCCCGATTTGGCTTTTGCCGTCAGCAACATAAGTCGATTCGACGATAAGTACAACGAATCTCATTTTACTGCTGTAAAGCGCAACGTGCGCTACGTCAAGGGCACTATTGAATTTCTCCTGGTCTATTGCACCGATTTGTTGGAACCAATTCACGGATTTGTGGACGCGGACTGGGAAAACGACGATCTGGATACCTATTTAGCAGCAAATGAATCCTGTGTTTATTGAAATACATCTGTATCATTTACATTTTTGCTCCCTTTGTATATATTTTATTAAGAATATAATTAATAATCTTAAATTAATAAATAATTTAGATATTACCCTTCATTGAAAAACATTTGTAAAAGATAAAACTAATTATTGGGGTTGTTCGGAAAGTCATTTCGTTTTGTGTGGTGAAAATGAAAGACGAATTTTTTAAAGTGTATAAACATTTTATTAAATTATATATTCTCCATTTTGGTCCAATACCTTTTGCCATCTTTCGGGCAGGAGATTGATTCCACGTTCATAAAACTTCTGGTCTTTGCTGGCAAAATACTGGTCCAAGTGAAATTTGACGTCTTCATTTGAGGTGAAGGTCTTCCCGTCCAAAAAATTTTGCAGAGACCGGAACAAGTAGTAGTCTGAAGGTGCCAAATCTGGAGAATATGGTGGGTGTGGTAGTACATCCCATTCAAGCTGTAAAAGCTTTTGGCGGGTTACCAAACTTGTGGGAGGTCTCGCATTATCGTGGTGGAACACTACACGTTTTCTATTGACCAATTCTGGCCTTTTCTGTTTAAGTGAATCGTTCAATGACCACAATACACTTCAGAATTAATCGTGGTATTGTCCGGTAGAAGCTCAAAAAAAACTATCCCTTTGAAATCCCACCAAACATATAGCATAACCTTTTTTTGGTGAATATCGGCCTTCGCAGTGGTTTGAGCTGGTTCACCTTTTTTACTCCATGATCTCTTCCGCTTAACATTTTTGTAAACAACCCATTTCTCGTCGCCAGTAATGATACGCTTCAAAAATGGATCATTTTCTTGACGTTTGAGAAGCAAATCACAGTCGTTAATGCGCCGAAGCAAATTTCGCTCTGTAAGAACATGTGGAACCCATATGTTAAGTTCTGAAATAAAACCAAGACGTTTCACGTGATGATGAACGGTCGAATTCGATAAATGTAACCTCTCAGCAATCTCACGAGTTGTTATTTGACGGTTTGCATCTACCAATGCCTTTATTTCGTCTCCATCGGTTTCAACGGGTCTTCCAGAACGTGGTGCATCTTCAAGATCGAAATTGCCGGAACGAAATTTTGCAAACCAATTTTGGCATTATCGTTCAGTCAGTACATCTTCTCCATACACATCGCATAATTTCCGCCTTGCCTGAACTGCATTTTTACCTTTTCGATAGTAAAAGAGTAAAATATGTCGAAAATGCTGATTTTGATTTTCCATCTTTGATAGGGCACCAAACAAAAACTATTGCAAAGAATCAAACAAAACTTTTAACATACAAGCATTACTATGTCAGCTGTCAAAATTTTAATGTTTATGCGGCTTAAGTGTAAAGTTGGCTGTGAAACAATACAATTAGGTTCTCTGTTGAAGAAAAACGAAATGACTTTCCGAACAACCTGATATTTACTTTCACGATTGGTTGCATATCTTAAGGGGTATGTGACTTGTATATTTAAGAATTGACCATATAGGCGTTATTTGATTACTCAATGCCATAGGAGATTTGTATGTTTGTATATCCAGAGTTAAATTTTACGCACTTCACGCAAATCCTGCATATTATGATAGCTTATGTAGGTAGGTATATATAGGTACCCATTAAAATGACAAGGTTTATCCTTAAACATGACAAAGTAGATCAATATGCAAGAAGTTTAGGCAAACATATGCTGAGGGAATGTGCAATGTGTTTTATTTACATAATACTTTAAATTATACACGAACGTATATATCGTCAAGCGCAAAATATTGGATGATTGAATAAAAAAGGCCGGAATTATTAAACATAATTGCGCTTTTAAACTGGGCAATGTGCGCCCTACATTTCACGGTTTTATATTTGGCATACACATTTATGTCCTTTGTCCCAACGTAAACAAAAACGTTTGTTGGTAATTGACATCTACTTTGGAAGTAATATTCTACAGCTGTCATACCTTTTTATTTAAAAAAATGTTCATTCGCAATGTGCATACCTATACTTATAATATAATTACCGTCAGCAGAGAAGAATTACAACTGATCAAGTAAATAATTTAACCGCGATTATAAACTAATGTAGGCAAATTACCCTACATTTAAACGCATAGGTACCTATGTGCGCTGTCACACTATGCGTTTTTTCCGCTCCTGTTAAAACCCTGATTAAATCGGATTCGGTTTGACAGGACTACCTCTACCTCTACCTGTCACACTGTTCCGGTCTAACGGGATGCATCACACTTATTTTTGCTATTTACAGTTTAAACTGAGGCGCAATTGTTAAGTATGGTTTCCGCGCTTGAAGCAGAGGAGTTACTGCGAAAGCAGATAGATCGTCAATATTAGATTTCTACCTTAACCCAAGCTTTCTCCCTACAGTTTTATCTACATACTCTCTAATTGTTTACCACAATTCAGTTTGTTGGGTCCGTTAACTTGGCCCCCCCACTGAGAGATTTCATAGTAGTATTATTTTGAAATGAATGCGCTCGTTATGCGCTCATATGCGCCACCGATAATAACTCTTGCGCCATTATCGTTTTTTAGAAATCCGAAAAAACATTTGGGGGGGCCAAGTGAACGTAGCCCCCCCAGTACGTATTTTGTCCCTTGTAACTAGGTCACCTGATACATTTGGTTATGCGCTCAATTGCGCCACTTGAATTAAAGCTAGCGCCATTACGGTTAAGCCGTGACAAATTTTCAAAAAGTGGGGGGGGCCAACTTAACGTTTTTAAAAGTTACTTTTTTTTAACATCTTTTCATACGAAATTGTACTCTCAGGTATGCGCTGAAATGCGCCGTAAAAAGATATCTTTGCGCCATTATTGTTTTTTGGTTATCCTTAAATATATTTGGGGGGGGGGGCAAGTGAACGGAATCCCCCATAACGCATTTTGCTACCGGTATTTGTGCCACTTGATACATCTGGTTATGAGCTCAATTGCGCCACTTGAATTAAAGCTAGCGCCATTACGGTTAAGCCATAAAAAAATTTTAAAAAGTGGGGGGGGCTAACTTAACGTTTTCAAAAGTTACGTTTTTTAACATGTTTTTTCTACTACATCGTACCTTTCATCATGCGCTAAAATGCGCCGTAAACAAAAATCTTGGCGCCATTATAGTGTTTCAGAAACACTCTACAGGGTGTTTTTTTGGGAACTTTAGTTAAACGATTCTGGGAAAGTAAAATAGGTAGGTTTTTAAAAATTTGTATTTAGGAGTTACTCCGAAGGCCGAATCGATGTAAAATATTTTCAAAATGGACGTACTTCCGGAAATAAATTTTGAAAACGCTAAGTTAGACCCTCCACTTTTAAAAAATTTTTTATGGCTTAACCGTAATGGCGCTATCTTTAATTCAAGTGGCGCAATTGAGCTCATAACCAGATGTATGAAGTGTCACAAAAACCGGTAGCAAAATGCGTTATGGGGGATTCCGTTCACTTGCCCCCCCCCCCAAATATATTTAAGGATAACCAAAAACAATAATGGCGCAAAGATATCTTTTTACGGCGCATTTCAGCGCATACCTGAGAGTACAATTTCGTATGAAAAGATGTTAAAAAAAAGTAACTTTTAAAAACGTTAAGTTGGCCCCCCCACTTTTTGAAAATTTGTCACGGCTTAACCGTAATGGCGCTAGCTTTAATTCAAGTGGCGCAATTGAGCGCATAACCAAATGTATCAGGTGACCTAGTTACAAGGGACAAAATACGTACTGGGGGGGGCTACGTTCACTTGGCCCCCCCCAAATGTTTTTTCGGATTTCTAAAAAACGATAATGGCGCAAGAGTTATTATCGGTGGCGCATATGAGCGCATAACGAGCGCCTTCATTTCAAAATAATACGACTATGAAATCTCTCAGTGGGGGGGGGGGGCAAGTTAACGGACCCCTGTTTGTTCGTGTATCTATGCTATTACTGGGGCTGGAAGAGAAATCCGAAAAAATTTTGAAAATATTATAAAATTGGAAAGGCACACCCAAAAACAGAGGTGAAGTTGCAGGTTTACCTTCTACTTATGGCTGGTTGGTTATGGTCCCGAAAAAAATTAAATAAGAAATGCAAATTTTGAATTTTTTGGGGTGTGATAACGATCAATTTGTAACGTTCACTTCATTTGGAAAAAGCGGTTGTTTTGATCCCTTCTTCCACCCAATTCTTTGACATACCTATATTTGTTACATCCTGTAAGTCACATTTTTCAAAAATCAATACTCCAAGATAGATGATGTCAAGGTCATAGATACTATATGAAATCGATCAGATACAAGCAAGGATACAAGACAATAGCACGCAATTCAGCCTCACCTGACAAAATCAGCTAAAGTTTAAAGTAGGGACGCGAACCTTTATTTATAACACAGTTGAGCACGAACTGAAATGCCAGCTATAGATGAGCAATTACAAGAAGTGATTAAATTTTGGATTTCGGAGGCTAATCCACTGAGGCTGGCCAGCACAAAATCCATGTTCGCGGTATTTTCTTGGACTTTGGGTAGATTTATTCTAAATTATTTACTTTGAAAACACTGGAATTCGTGTGGCCGTTGAAGTAAAAAATACAGCAAAAACACCTAGAAACCACAGAAAAGTTGGATCTCCCTCATCATTATTCATTAGGAAGCGGCTGTTTTTGCAAAGCTCTAAGTTTTCATTAATCTCAATTACTTTTATTACCGTATCGTGGCACTCCCTAGGTACAGACGTTTTCAGGTCGCATCAACAGCCGTCTGTGTGTCTTAACGACAGTCGTGGTATGACTGCAGGGACCGTAAGCTTTACATGCCCTCCAAAGCATGGAAGTCAGGAGATGTTCTGTACCACTAAAAACTGGCTAGTTGTGGGATTCAACTTACAACCGGTGAGATTAGAGTTCGAGTTTTAAACCGCTACGCCAAACATTTACTGTTTACTTGCTTTACTAAAGAATATTATTTGCTACTTATATGGTTTTTAAGCGTATATAGGTGGACAGCTGTTTCCATCAATAGTTCCTGTCTTGTTGGGTTTAAAAAATATATGAATTAGAATAAGAATTATATTAAGTGGTCACTCGTTACCTTCATGTTCAAAATTTACATTACCTACACCTACTAGGTAGGAATATCAAATCATCAAAATCAGAGATTTTTCAGGTCAGCTCAAGGGTGAAGCATTTTTGTGGGTACAAAAATATTAGATAATAATCAGCCCTGCGATGTATCACTAACGTTAAATTTAACGTACAGGTTATCTATAGAAAACGTTATTTGGCCCATACTAAACAACGCAAAATAAGGTTTTTTTGACAGATAAATTGCACGTTAAGTTTGGCGTTTCTGATACATCACATCAGGGCTGATTGTTTCATAAAAAACGCTAAGAGACAGGTACCCACTTCAACAGCACATTCAGAAACCCTCTGCACTTGCCGCTGCATGTCTTTTATAGACCTAATTTTAGAGTTTTAGTACCTAATAATGGAAGAAAAACTCAAAAATTAAGGCAAAATAAAATAAAAAATGCTTATTTTGGTAAACTCTATTATTCGGTTTTTTATAATTGTATATAATTTGGAACACGCATCGGATTAATAAAAAATTAATTTCTTACCCAATGGCCATGTTAAAAGTGGCTACCTTAGTAGCATTGTCCATCAATACTATACCTTTAGGTTAATCGTTAATATTATATGCAATGCTATAGTGCTTCGAAATTACTACTTACTTTGTGGCTATTCAAATTCTAAATACTTATATAGGAAAATCAATAAATGTTAGTTATCTACATTACTGGTCGCATATCATAACGTGGAGATTTCCTTAAATATACAAGTAGGTATACCTAAGGGTATAATGCATCATTATGTAAGGGTTTGTGTTTATTAGGCCCATTATAATCTAATAGTAAAAATAGTTTCCATTTCAGAGAAATCTTGAATCCTATCCAAAAGAAATAGTTTAAAATTCCTTACGCTCTTAAAACGACCAGTTTCCCTTCATACTGCACGTGTATAACATTACCACACTAATATACCGCACATGTATTTAAATAGAAGTATCGGTACACATCTGAAGCTCATATAACATTAGTTAGATGTTTGTTTAAATTACCATCTTACCATGTAGTTAGGACTGGAGTGTTTAATACTGCATCGTTCTCATCTTGGATACCTATACGTCCTTCACAAACTTAACGGCCATTTTAAAACCGAATGAAGCCATCATTACCTGTTAGTTCACTTTTAAAGTAATTTTTATATAACCGAGGTGTGCACGCATATAATTATTTAAGCATGTCCATACATACAATGATTTTGGTAACAAATTCCTTGTTTTAAATATCACACTGCAACATAAACAGGCTTAAAACACAACGTTTACTGGCATGGCGTTAAAGACTGGCCGGTATGGTAAGGCGGGTTAGAATGTATTGTTAGGAACCCCCAAACACATTAATGATGCCATGTTGCAATTCCAATGCCACTTCTCTCCTGCAATGTGGGTAAGTTTTTAAATTGTTTCATCTCTTAGTAGACGCTCATGACAAGGCTTGGTTGAAATTTATAGAACAAAATAGGTAGGTACACACTCCGACATAAATAGAATCAAGAATTCTGTTGCTAGTTTAACATCACGAGCGTGATTGTAATTTGTAAGAATCTATTTTTAGTTCCAGAAGGTACACATAAAATAACTGAAGTCTGAATTTAAAATGGGTTAGATTATAAAACAGCATAGATTTCTTAACCAATATCAAGCCATAAATTTCAGTGAGTGTTTTAGTAATTAAATGAAAAGTAATTTAATTTTTAATTTTAAATTATGTCCGGGTTATCAGTATAAAGCCCTGCCATTAATAAAAGATAATTACTTATGTTCTCTGATAGGATGTTTGTTATAGTACTTTGTAAACATCGCGTCATTGGTCTATGATTTTCGATTGTCCAGTAAACATTTGGGAATGTGCTTATAAGGAGTGTAATGTTTATAATTTTATTTGTCCTGTAGATAAAATAAATGTTCAGTGGGATTTATTCGGTGCATTCGTGCTTGCTATAATCATTTGTTATTATGGGGGTTCCGCGTTTATATGGAGCTGGGTGAATTTCCAAATAATTATCTAATCGATTCGAGTCAGAGATTGGCATTGAAGTTTTGGGGGAGCTATATGTAAAATGATTCAATTCGAACTTGAATCGAGATTTTGCAGGTCTTAAAAGTCTAACCTATCTAAATCGTAAACAATAGATAATGAAATTATAGGGAATCATATAGGTATATATAAAAATTAGATAGGTTTGATTAAAATAACGTCTTGCAACATATTTTTACTCTATTATACTCATACTAATCGAATATGAGTCTTTTGAATTATTGTTAAAAGCTAGCTTTTAGCGCAAATAAGAGAAATGCACTTTTGTGACTACTTTGTCTGTTCGTCTATTCCTACGACTGTGTCACTATCAGATCTTTATCTTAAGAGGTATAGGTATTTGGTTCGTATAGGTGTCGAGGCCTACACCAAGGTGGGAACTTTCTTCTGCGTTGCTTATGAAAACAATTATAGCAAAACTAAGTTAAAAAAAAGTCTGAATGTGCCACCACTAGACTTCAGCGCAGCAGCAGATCACATTTGGACATTTTTAGATTCAACAACGATTTATGTAAAAATTTACTGTACAGAGTACCTACTGGATTTACTTGAAATTGACCATACCGCCCATAACCTGTTAGCAGAGTCATTTTTTGAGAATCAAAACTGCGCTAAAAACTCACTGTTTTCAATCCCCATAATAAGGCGTTTTCTAAAGAATATACCTACATTAAACGCATTAGACTGCATCTGTAGACTAAAAAACGCATGAAAATTATTACGCCGGGCAGAGTTAGATTTTTATTTGTTGCTCAATTCTTCTGATATTTCAGCAGAAGCTAATTCTTCTAAAAGCAAATTGCACAGCACATTATTTTCTTATGTGTAGACCACTTTTGTGAAAGTTTAACTGCCTCGTCTTCGACTCCAATTTTTGTTGCCACCAGCACTCATGCTTCTTGTTAAAATATTACTTATTGACGTGTTTTTCCGATTTTTTTCGTAAAAATTAAATCTTATGATATTGCGTATGAAAAATTCATCTAAGAACAAATAAAGGTGATAAATGTGATATGATTTTGAGGAAAAATTAAAAAGGGGTGGATTTTGGATGTAGCTCAAAGGAAAAATTTGGTAACTTTGGTTCGGAGGAGAATCTCATTTTTTGCTTGGGCATAAGTAGACCTCCATTATTACTGCGGTGGGTTCCAAAACTCTCCTTAAGACTAGCATCTGGTATACCAATTGACAGAATAAAAGAGCGTATGCCTGAAATACGTTTTAGATCAACAACTGTTACGAATACATTTTTTTTAAATTTCAAGATAGTGACCTTCGGTGTCACTTACTGGGTGCATTAACGCATAAAAAAATGTAGGTATATCTGTTAAAAGTAAAGTACAAAAATTAGATTTTCAATAGGTCGGACTCGCTTACATTTCAAAAAAGATGTTTTGAATGTAGCATAATCATTTTGGCAAAAAAATGTCAAAAACCCTTTGCCTCAATTCTTAGGAGATTTAAATTTAAAATCTATAAGATCATCCCATTTCTAACTATGTCGTTTGATTCCTCTAAGGTTTGCATTTATCAAAAATAACGTTGTGATTAAGATGCAGGCGAAGATAAAAGTTATCGGTGGTGAAGCTCTAATACACGGTGTCCCAACGAAAAATTCAACTGCCATAAAATTCGGCAAAATAGGTAAATGTTTTGATCAATATCTAAAAACCGCTGGACATTTATATCTAGGGAGTGCTTTAAACTTTAACCCTGTGGTCGGTATAGGGGTTGTAACCCATCCACAAATTTTTATCTATAGGTACGCAACAGTTTTTTTAGTTGTTTAACACTCTGAAGGACCTCCAGTAACTTCTCTACAACAATAAATTGATGACAATTTGATTGAAACCAATTCAAATCATACATGTCTCAATACCACAGTAGGTAATTTATCTCCGGCATTCGGCGATAATTACTTCCCGTTACAGGTGCATATTCGTTGGGACACCTTGTATAGATTTTTAACAAGTTATAATAACAACAAAACACCAATATTTTGTGTGAATAAATAGGCAAGAACTGTTACACAGATAGATCGAAGTACTTATTTGTCTTCTCAACTTACAACTTAGTTTATACGTTTATTTGTGTCATAGCTATATACACTGTAGACATGATAGGTACCTACTACTTTTTAGAGAAAAGATGTGCAACTAGAGAGTTGTTATCATGCTTTCAAGAAACCAAGCAAATTTCGATTACTTCCGAAGATATGCCAGAAAACCGAAATTTGCGGATTTCGTTTTTATTTTTCTCTGATGTTATTTGAGTAATTCGTTTCGGAGAAATGATCATCAACTTAATTTTGTATATGGCCCGTAAAAAAGTACACACTGTATTGAGTAGCACATTTTTTATTACGACAACGATGTCCGACACACAAAGAAAAAACAAAAGTTGGAAACTGTTCGGAATTTTCTGATTTTATGTACAGCGTAATAATCGCAACTTGCGCAACTTTTTTGTAATTTGACCATCTTCGTATCTTCTACGGTTTCCGAGATGCCAATGATAGACATCCTTACCTTGGACAGTCTGTATACCGACTGTATGAGCCGTGAGGTATATATCAAATTTAGGTAGGTAGGTACAACTTGTTTTAGAAACCTGTGCAATTGTAGGTAATTTTGAGTTACTAATGCCGGTAAGTATATTTGCAGTTGCTATCCAGCATCCAGCATTAAAAAAATGGTTATGCACGTTTATATACCTATAGGTACCTACCTACCTAATACTTATGGGTATTGCCATTACCATAAAGCATTTAAACAAGGGTATTACCTAGGTGGGTAGGTACTATATATAGGCAGTGGCGGCTCGTAAGCTGCGAAGAAGGTAGTGTCACATTGTGTCCCCCTCCCCGTTATTTTAATAGTTACAAATTTTTGTTTTCATATTATTCCAGTTATTTAGATTTTGAGTATAATTCGAATATTTATAATGCAAGTGACGGAAACAAATCTAGCCCCTTTAATTTCTTTGGAGACTTGTTTCATAAGTATAGTTCAACTATGCATTCCAGTAATTCATTTTGTGTTCTTTTAGATGAGAATTAGCGGATTTTTTTGACAAAAAATCGTATGGAAAGTGTTACTTTTTTCACGATTTGTACTATCCGTTTCCATGGCGTTTAGTCCGATCTATAAACAATAGCAACATTTTATTTGCAGTTTTATTAATGAGGCCGAAGTATCATTTTCAACAATAGTTGTACAAATAACTATTCAAATCTTTATCTAAACAAGTACTGAAATTTATTAATTCTCTGAATACCTACTCCTTTATTTTCGGATTTATCGCTATTGCCGTGTCCTCTTAAAGGAGATTCAGGCGCATTTCGTTTTCTAACAATATTTAAGTCCGGTACCGGCCTGCTTAATTGCTTTATTTAAAGACTATCTTCCAGAGAATGCATGGAAAAAGGTTTATTTAAATGATTTTTTAATTTGTGTATTTTACGTAAAATTAATCCGGGAAGTGTAATCTTACACAGAAGTAAAAAAAATTGTTTGACTTATCACGACTGAAAGAAGGAAAACAGCGCAAAGCATAGTAATACACGTACACATTATTCAACTGTGCTTATGAGCCAAACTTCTGATGGCTCAAGTTGTATGTTTGAAGTCCACGGATAAGCACAAATGAATTCTTCTTGGTACCTAATTTATCAAATCATTTACTTTTTTTGTTTTAAGTTTTAAAGCACAATTATGTACCTACTCTAGTGAGCACAATTAATAATAGTTAATTATATTTTAAGAATTGATAATTAGCATCAGGTTCCTTGAGGTGGTGCCATGGCTCCTTGGCTCTTTATAAAGAGCCGCCCCTGTAATAGGTATAGGTACTTATAGGTACAGACAATTGTGTGAATTATTTCCATTTCCTCCTATACTTATCAGGATCGATGATTTCAATGGTTATTGCTTAAGTAGGTATACCCTGGTAAGAAGTTGTGTTATCTACAATATAAATTTTGCGTATAGTATAGGTAGGTATTCCTTAGGTATAGATATAGGCCTTGCGTTATACGGTATGTAGGTACACTAACCCAATTAGTACGTACCTACCTACCATTGATGGATTCATATATAGGTATAAGTTAATATATTGGCGGCACTTACCTACCTATGGTTTAATTGCAAATTGAAACCAGTGCGTCTTACTTTTTTACAGTAAAACTTTAAGAACGAATTAAATAATAAAATTAATTTTTATGGTTATTTTATGACCAACCTGTCATGTTTGCTACCGTAAGTATATCTTC